ATAGTTTACACAACTGTAAGATTTGAATACATACAACTTTCCTGTCATTTTTTTTTTAGATATTCCTGTCATGTTTTGGCATATAGTTATACCCCGAACTTGGTTGTTTTTTTGCAAATATTTCATTATCCAAACTGGGTAACATCATCATGTGCACTGATGATGTTAGTTTGGGTAATGCAACATATAAGAAAACAACCAAGTTCAACACCTAAGAGCACTAAGGACTTTTTATTTCAATCCCGAGTTACAAATATTCTCCTTTACTGATAACTTTATCAAACTCCTTTCTTTTTCTTCCTGCCTACTTTGCTCCCCTCCTTTCTCCCCATACCTTTTGTATGTATGTGTGTCTTCAAGTTAGTCTTGATTTCTGGTGACTGCCTGGACAAGTCTCGACAGTTTTCTTAGCTAGGTTTATCCAAAGTGGTTTGCCATTGGCTGCTTCCTAAGGATGAGAGTGTGATTAACCCCAAGTTACCCAGTGGGCTTTCTGCCTAATGTAGGACTAGAACTCATAGTCTCCTGGTTTCTAGCCTAACCACTACACCAAACTGGCTCTATAATGTCCTCTTTATACCACCACATCACCATCAAGAAGGTTAAGTATAACTTCTATCATCAAAAGTTTGTTACCTGCAGAGAATCATATGGCCAAAACCTAGAAAAAACCTAAAAAATCAGGACATTAAAACCATTCAATAGCAAGAAATGGTGCCATTTTTAGATTTTTTTCTCTAGCAACAACATAAAGCTTAACCAATCTATCTCAATCAGTCAATGCTAGATATACACACATCATACATACATACATACATACATACATACATACCTGTTCCAGAATACCAATTGTTTGGCTAATTAATTTTATTTGCTCTTTTACTTGTAAATTGAACTTCCAGTATTTTAAATGCCAAAGGTCTTGAAATGGCAATAGTTCATGGCACATACTTTCAATTTTAATTATAAGCTAAGAAGAAAAATGTCAGAATAGCAAATGATACAAAGTAAGACACTAAGGCAAAGAAGGAAGGGAGGGAAAACATGACTGGGATTAATGTGCCACCATAGTTTGCTGTTGTTAAAAAAAAACAAATACCTAGAGATGTTTCTATTTCTAATCTGCTTCAAAATCTGCCAAATAACCACAGATTCTTGATATAAAAAAATATTTTTGAAATGTGCAAACATTCTGCCTCACCATTAGCAGGTTTCCCATATGCTATATAAACCAGACACATATACTTTATGAATCCAAGCTCTTAATTTTCATTTTGAAGACATTTATGACAAAACGTCCAACTGTGAGAAGTTTGTATCTTTTCTTCCACTCTTAGGTAATCAACAAATGTATTTTGCTACATTTGTTAAGTCTTGTCTTTCCTTAAGGACTTCATATTTATCCAAGCTTGTCACCAATTACATGTAGAGAAAGCATCACATCCCTCACAAGAAAGATAGCATTTTTACCTCTGACCAGAATGTGCTTCCTGATCTCTCCTAGAAAGGCCCATATACTAGCATGGTGTTCCATGCAAAAATGGGCAACTGTGGCCACATGTAAATCCCGCCCCCCATGTAATGGCCCTGAAAACCTCTTGCAAGGGACAGGTTTGAAATGATTTACAACTGTTTTTGTTTTGTGGAAGTTTGTGGAAGAAGTTGATAAGGGTCAGATGGGAGACTTATACCATCGGAGATTTCTAGGCCTAATAAAGAAGACTGCCTATTTTTAAGTTATCTTCATGTAAACAGAGGTTTTCACATCATTTTTAACTGAAAAGTCTAAGTACAGAACTATCTTTTCTAATCACATGGAAATTACATACAATTTTAAGATTTCCTTCTTTAAAGTATTCATCTACATGCAATCTAGGTAGATGAAATGACACAGGGGCCAAGGATGTCACCACTCCTCAGCAATTTCATACACTTATATATGGGCAACATTGTACATCCTGTATACCATATGAACTTAACAATGGACAATTTCTTCATATAGCATGAAAAATATAATTTTCATTATGTACAAATAATATACATACATGTGTAAAAGCCTCCTAAATCTTTGAGTGTGGCCCACAGAAATCTTCAAAAGTTGGAAATAAATTGCACTTTTTATGGTGACAGGAGGAAAATATTAAATGCATGCATTCCCACATACATTTAATTAATTCTAATTAGGTTGGAATTTAATGTAATCAAATTTAAATTTCTCCTGCCCACCCACACACACCCCTTCTACTTCTTCATCCTGGCTCCAGCTGCTGACACATAAACAGAGCTCTCATTATTCCTCACTATTGCATACCCTTCATAGAACTCTTACACAAGCTCTACAGCAGTATGAGCCCTACTCAGGCATACAAATGAAAACAAGAAATTTCATCTAATTATCCTGACATATCCTGCTCTTGACCGTTGGGCGTGAGCAAGGAAGCCTGAAAATGCTTCTCAGGCATTTCCTTGAACATAAGTAATATTCAATATTCAAGCAGAAGTAATAATCTTCTGCTATCAAGAACCTTGAAAAACAAAATTGTGGATGATAAAATATGTTCTACTTATCCTGAAGTGAATAGAAATAGAATATCCTTTCAGGCTTGCTGCTAAATCCAACAAGATTTGTGGAGGATGGAATTTGGGTGTTATATAGTGATACATTAAGAAGCTGAACTAAAGGCAACTATGGTGAAGCTATGATTTAACACCTGAGTTGCTTTTAGAGGATCTTATTGAATTATATGAGATAAAACAAAGTGGTCTGACTTTAATTCCTAAACAGAGATCAAGTTAACATCTCATTGCAAATGCAGTTTTAGTGGAGAGAACTGTCCAAATTAATTGTATATAGTTAAGTAGAATGGAAGCAGGAATTACACCATAGGAGAAAACATTATATTTTCCAAATTCATATTACATTAGTGATCTGGGGTAATAAAATGAATACTTTTTTATGAACCAGAAATTATTTTCTGCTTGCTCTGTTTTTGGTGTGGTTAGGAACCTAAAATTAAAAGTTTAAAAAGCAGGGTGTGGAGACTGTCCTTTGCTTTATTGTGTTTGAATTAATCAGCTTGCATTGTAGATGTCAACTATTAAACAGCAGCATATCTTGTGGTTCATTTAGGGATGATTTATTATGGCTCTGTGTGTGTGTGTGTGTGTATGCATGTGTGTGTGCACTGCACATGTGCATGCATTCCTTCAGTCAGTATTGACTTCTGGCAACTGCACTTTTCTTGGCAAGATTTTAAAAGCTTGGCATTGCCTAGTTCCTAGGGCTGGGGGTGGGGGTTATAAGACTGCTTTCTGAGCAAAGTATAGTCTTTTTAAAACTATGTCTCATACGGGAAAAATATAAGATAATCAACAGTGGACTCCATGTGCATTTCACCATTTAAATGCAAAATTGGTTATCTTGCTTTACATCATGATTGTAAGATGATGAAACTCAATGTCAATTTAGACTATGCAGATTTTTGAAAAAGCTTTGTTTAGACAAGAACTTGAGTGAAGTGCCACTTGAATGTAGCTTTATTTTTGTAACTGTAGTTCAGCACAATGACAAGAAATGCACAGAAGCCATTGCTTGAGATGCATATTGGCCAACTGAGAAAGACCAGCTCCATTTCAACTCTTTGTTTGAGGTAAGAATCATTCATGGTCCATGATCATGGGATCCACAATCCCCTACTATCTCTTGGTGCCTTGTGAAAAAGGAAATACATTTTAAAGGGAGAAGGTCTGCCTGCTGACTGTCTGAGGAATTGATTAGATCTAGGCATTGGTTAACTAATTTTAATTTTCAGATAGGAGATCTTTGGGGTCTTTATATCAAAATTCAGTCTAGGCAGGGCCACTGATACAGAGTAGATTAGTCTGGAACCAGATGTCACTAATTAGAACAATTATTTATTCTTCAGATAATCATGTACAAAGGAAGAAAAGAAAAAATAAAGCTTCTATTGCTTTTTGATCCATAGATTCAGATTTATTTATTTATTTTTGCTTCTAAGGGGTGGAAAAAAATTGTAAAAATGGTGAGTTGGAAATCCACATATCTGATACAGTCTCCCTCTTAATTATTTTTTCTGATCCCTGTTATCCCTGTGAACATTTCACACTGTATGGTATGCAACAGGAAAGCTCTGAATCCATGCTGAAAGTAACATTATTAACAGGGAGCATGTGTCTGCGGCAATGATTCACACCCACATCTTGAAAAAAATAGTGATCACCAGGGGCAGAGTATTTAATGAGGTATGGGAGCTTGTTTCAATAAGTGTGAATATAAATAAAGTGGAGTGATGATCACAAGGCAATACGTTGTTCAAAAGTTATACCCTGATGCTAAAATTTGTGCCAGCATATCTAGCTACATTATACAATGATGAGACAATGCATCCTAAGTATTATTTCAGATATTATTTAATATCTGGTTGTATATATTTAAATGTCTAATGTTTTTACAGTGGAGAGAAAAAAAACCATTCATCCGCTAAAATGAAAACTTTATTGCATTTAGCAATAAAACTTACCATTGACATATGTCTTTAAAAGCCACATAGTAAAAGTTTGATCAGAGATAACAGACCCAGTTGGATCTACCAAAAATGCATTATAAAAACAGTGGTGATACATTTTTGTGCGCTTTTTACTCAGGTAGTATCAAGAGTTATTCCATTTTTACTTTCATATTTGAATTCATCACTTTAAATTGTTTCCTTCTAGTGGACAATAAAAAAGCAACAAATCAAACAACCCCACACAAAATAATATTGTGAAAAGATCAGTATACATGGGTCAATACAGTCATTTTTTCCCCCTTTACTATAGTAGTACTTTTTGGCTGAGGCATTGTTTGAGCAAGAATGTTTGTTACAGGAAGACCCTACTGTCACGGCACTACTCTATTTGGAATTTATGTTTAAGCAACTCATATCAAATTCTGCAGGAGCCCTAGAATCCATGACACCAAAATAAAATATCATGCCAAATCCTGCTCCAATCCCTAATGTAGAGCAGAATAAACAATGGATTTTTGAAATACTCCAGCATAATTCTCCTTTCTCATACCACACTACAGATTGTTCCCTTGTTGCAATTATTGTGTAGTCCTGGACAGGTACAGGTTGCTTGAAGGCAAGATACAGAAAAGTTTAGACTAGCTGTGAATAGCTAGACTTTTAACAGAAGTCAGTTGTTACCAGAGCAGTGGAAGAGGAAAATGTTTAATGCAGTTCTGGGAAGACTCTTTCTGTACCCTCTTTTTAGAAGGAACAGAACAGTGATTTAATTTGCTGTGCTTTATAATACACATGGTTTTGTAAATGCCTATTGCCATTTAGTATAGTAATTGATTATAATAGCTACAAAACATCTCGCATGTACTTTGAACATTATAAATATGTATATTTATGTTAAATATTTGTTTCTTTTTCTGAAGGACTGTCTTGCATTTTGCTGGATCTGTTGAGAACTTCTTCACTCTCTTTGTGGGTCAAAGGCTCAACTTCCTTGGAATCAGCATTCTTTAAGGCATTCTGCCTTTCATCTTCTAATTTCTTCTCTTTTGCCAAAAGTCTATAATTGATTGCATTTCCAATGAACAGCCAAATACTTGAAACAACAACAATTATACCACAGACAAAATACATATATTTGTAGTCTTTGGTTATGTCCACAAGCAAACCTGAAAGATTTAAAAAAAAAACAGAAATAAAATAATTTCAGATAACATAGAAGATAAGTTAACCTTCTTAACAATTGGAAAGAAGGAGTAAACAGTCTGTGCTGAACAGAAAATATTTTTGATGTTTCAAACATACACATTTTTTCTTCAAAAATATCTGTTTTAATATGCATATATCCATGTATAGTGAAACATAGGACTGAGAAGAGGATCCATGTGTTGCAAGCATGCCCTTATGTTTGAAAGTAGTTGCTACCTAAAAAGGTTTTCAAAGTAAAAAGTGTCATAATAAGAACTGCTATAATCTGCACTGTTTTCAAGTAAACCTAACTACAGTACTCAATAGTGAACATATATACAATTTTCACACAGAGAACATAATACATTTAAATACATATGAGTAATGTTTTAGAAAATTAGGTTGATTTATCAATAAATGAACAGAAAGGTTAGATTTATGTGTGAGGGGTTAAGAGAAAGAAAAAAAGGAAGGAAGGAAGGAAGGAAGGAAGGAAGGAAGGAAGGAAGGAAG